AGAATTATGGTAGTTCTTCTTCCAAGACATATTTGATCATTTATCAGCAGTCCATGGTATAATCAATACTCTTTGCCAATTGATTCAAAGAAATCAATGCAATTTTGGCTTTCAATATTTATTGTTCAACTTTCATATTCATATCAGGTAATAAAAAACACCATTACCTAAGTAAGATGGACCTTAGTCTTCAAAGTGACATTATTGCTATTAAAAAGTTTAAAGATAAAGATTTGCAACAGATTTAGCCATGCAATACATAGTTTGATTTTCTGATAATTGCTTCTAGCAGTAGTGATTGTGGATCCAAGCAAACTGAATTCTTGACCACTTCAATCTTTTTCTCCATCTATCGTAATGTTGCTTATTGGTCCAGTTGTAAGAATTTTTGTTTCCTTTATATTAAGATGTACTATATGCTGAGGACAATAATCTTTGATTTTCATCAGTAAGTACTTCAAGTACAGCAAGGACTTTAATCTGCATATTGTAAATTGTTATTGTCGACCCTGATGCTGCATTCTTCTTCATATAACCCAGTTTCTCTGCTAAGTATACAGATTGAGTTAGATATGGTGAAAGGATAAACCTGAAACAAACCTTTGCCGATTTGAAATCATGCAACATGCCCTTGTTAGAATGACTATCTCTTGGTCTAATTAAGGGTGCCCTGGTGGCTTAGTGGGTCAAGTGTTGGGCTTCTAGTGCAAGATCAAATGCTTGAAATCACCAACCTTTATAATGGAAAAAGATGAAGTTTTCTACTCTTGAAGGTTTGAAAGATAACCAGAGATTTACAGTCTCAAAAGCCTATGGGAACAATTCTACCTTATCCTATACGGGCACCACGAATTGGAATCAACTTGAAGACAATGAGTTTGCAGTTTTGGTCTATGTACAACTTTCATGTGAGTGCTACATTTCTGGAATTCCCATTCTTGACAATGCTTCCCACACTTTGTTATGATCCACACAATTGAATGATTTTACATAGTTAATAAAACAAAAATAAGCCTCTTTTTTATATTCTCTGCTATCAGCCATGATCCATCTTATACCTTCAATGACATCATTCCTTCCACATCCCCTTCTGTACCTACCAGTTGGAATTTTTGGCTGTCTGTCCATGCACTGCTGAAATATTTTCCTAATTATTTTAAGTAAAAATGTACATACACTTGAAATTTAATAATATTGTTTGAGAATTTCTTCATTATATTATATCATCTTAATTTGGAATGGGCACAAATGTTGATTTCTTCCAATGTATTAGACAGGCAGCTCTTTAGCAAAGTCTATGGCATAGATGAGTGAGGACTTCCATAATTGCCTTTGCTTTGAGCATTTTCATAGTGATTCCACGGAGCGTCATTATTTTAACCAAATGCATCTTGGACTTCTTTAAATATCTTTGGATACTGGCCATATGGTAGCTCCTGATGTGACTGAACATCAACCAATTATTTTTGATTCTGTGACTCTATGTATTTTTTCTATCTTCTTTTAATGCTTCCTGTATCACTCCTTCTCCCTCCTCCCCCCCCATAAAATCCTTTAATTTTATAGCTGGAGATTTATATTTTTCTTTGTTTTTTTTCAACTTAAGAGCATATTCCTCCATTTTTGTTTTCTAATTTAGATCTTTAAACAATTCTTTATAAACTTCACTTTGTTTTCCTAAGCTGACTTTTAAAATCTTGGGTTCAGCTCTTTTATTTCATTATTTGTTCCTTTCATATTCTATTTCCAGTAGCAAGATCAAGAGTGAACTTTGGTGTTTCCTTTCTTTCTTGTCTTTATAATGTCTTTCATTTTTTTCATGTTTGCTATCTTTCATGCCATTCCACAGCTCCTCCGGGCCTTGATCATTAGTGGCACACGTGTCAACTCTATTCTTATAGTTCCTAATTTTGTTGGAATATATTCAAAGCCATAACTTTACTCTCATGGACTTTTTTTTTTTAGTTTTCTTCAACTTCAACTTGAATTTGCATATGAACAATAAATAGATGGTCTGTTTCATGGTCAGCTGTTGAATTTGGTGTGATTGATGATATCGAAACTTTCCATTTTCTTTTTCCACAGATATTGTCAACTTAAACAATAATGCTTATTAGTTATGTTACAAGAATGTATGTGTAATTTTAATAGTGATGAGATAAATGATATGAGGAACAAACTATTAAAGGTTTGAAAGACAACTGATGAGATATTTGCTGAAAATTGTGGACTCATAATTGGAACCTATTCTATCACATAAACAGTCTTGGAGAAGCTTAGGTATCTCTGACATGGGACCATTCCTTTCCAATGATCTCATTATTTGAATTTTACTATTGGGTGCTGTATAAGTTTGAGTTAAAATAATTGTTTCCTTTGAGATATCACTGAATTCCAATTAGGACTTAGGGGGATTTGAAAATGGTTCTGAGGAAGCAATCTATGGTGAGTGAAGGTCTACAGGTCTCAGTTGCACAAACCCTGTGAGACCCAATTTCTTATAAATAGGAGAATTGAAACTCTTGTCTAGAGCACTTTGTGCTCTGCTTGGAAACACTAAATTTGAGGTTGTGTTATAACGGGAAAATGCAAGCATGTTTCCAGGTGGACTTGGTAAGTGTTCAAACTTCTGGTTATGTCTCACTGTTAGTTCCGCACCTCACGCACTGTGAGGACTTAAATATCAAGCAGCATTGTAGAATCATGTAAAATCATGTTGTCTGATCACAGACAAAGACATGAGATCCTTGAAATCTACTCTGATCAAGGGATGGGTGGCTGATAGCAAAATTCTCTAACTTCTATTCCCTTCTTCCCTCCCATTAGGCCACTGTTTCTTTCCTTGCTCTCTTCGTTTTTGCCCAATTCTAGGATTGTATGTGGGTGATTCATTCTGGTTTGTTCATTCTCTATAAAGACAATTTTTTAATGAAACTTGGGCAGCCATTTATTGGATCCTGTTCGATTTTTTTTTTTTTTTTTTGCAATTTAAAACCATCTTTACTCAAGTGGACAACTAAGTTCTAGTGTCTAAGAGGTAGAAAAGTTTGTTGTTTAATCTTGAAAGCTAAGTGAGTTATTAATTAGATATCCTACTAAAATGAAGACAGAAAATGACAAAGAAGTAAAATACAAAGCTTTCCAACCACAGTATTAAACAATGATGAAACCCCATCTAGAACAGGGCCGGCATTTGTTCATTACTTTGCAATGTAACAGAGTGCATTAGAAAGAAGAAATAAAAATATGTTCCCTTTTCCTAGTGATTACAGGCATTAACCCTACAATGAAACATATCTGATTCTTGGCTCTGTAAAAAAAATAGCTTTGTAACTCTGGGTAAAAATGAATATTTTTAAGCTTCAGCTTCTTGGTTTGAAAAAATAAAAGGGAATAGCAACAATAATATCCCTGATATACTTATTTTTAAAGTAAGTTGTATTTCAAAAATACTGAGGCAGTCATTGGAATTCAATAAATAATCAATCAATAGCATATGTATGTGTACTATATTATTATAGTAATTGAGTGTGCAATAAAAGGAAGAGATTCCTGGGTCTGAAGGAGCAATACTCTGTCTTGACTTTTGTTACCTTTGCTAGTAGTCCTATTTGTTTTTCTTTCTCAGACCTCTCTTTCATATGATTCACAATATTTCTTCTTTTTTTGTCACTATATTTCTCGAGCATAATAACATCAGTGTGATATTTCTCCTGTTACCATTTATCTTTCTTAATATTTCAGAATCAACTTAGGATCACCTAGAAAATATTAAAAGAACTAGAAGCACAGTAACAGCATCTTAAGGTAGAGTTGGGATTATCCAAGCCCCAATTTGGGAAAGATATATTATGAAGAGGATACGATCTACGTCTACTCAGTATTGCTATCTAATAAAATACGTAGTTGCGAATGTTCATAGAATACCAACATTAAAAAAGCATTTCTCATGTAGAAAAAGGATGTCTGGAAACTGATTTTGGTAGCAATTGTACAATTCTATTTGATGTGACTGAACTATGAAATGATATGATATATGTATTAAATCCCAAATGATAATTATATAAAAACTTTAAAATAAGAAAAAGAATTTGTAACCCAATTTTAAATACAGACAATAAAGGCACGCTTTTCATAATGATTCATGGTTTGCTACATTCACATTACAGATATTTCATAGGCTTTATCATGAATTTAGGAGGCAGTTTTTTTTTTTTTGGGAAATCACAGAAACCTTTATTAAACAAAAATATCAAAACACCAAGCTACTGTTTCTTGACATATCCTCTGTCTAGGTCTTGATATTTTTGTCAGCAGTGTTGCTATTATTTATTTATTATTTGGTGTGTTTTAAGAAAAATTATTTTATTGAAGGCTCGTACAGTTCTTATCACAGTCCATGCATACATAGGAGGCAGTTTTGTTCTTATCTTTGTTGTTGATGTATTTAGGAATTTTGTTTTGTATATGGTAAAACTATGCCTATTAAAGGTATGCATAAATTGTTGTAATTTGTATATCTATGAAATGGCAAAACCAGGAATCAAATCAGGATTTTTGATTTCTAATACAATTGTTTTACTGATATTTTGCAGTGGGTAATGGGTAGCCAGAGTTTGTTACTTGAAGAGATGGTGAGAGTTTAAAATATAAATTGCACACAGATGATAAATCCATGAATTAAACAACTGTAAAAGGGTTTCTAACTTAACATGAAAATGCATTAAGTATGTCTTTAAACTTTTCATGCTGTCATAGGGGATTAGCATTCACCTCTACAGAGCATTCTTTACAGGATTTGGATAAAATGTGTCTCTGAAATAGTCTGATGTTTCTTAATACCTATGCGTTCACCGTTCTCATCGTACCCATGAAGCCTACCTAGTGGTTGCTTGTTAAAACACATATTCTTGGTACTCATTAGCAAGAGGGTGAATGATTTGATAGTGGATTCTACACTTTGGTATCTTGGCTGCTTTTTTCAGGTCTTTCTTAGAGCCATGAGGAATCGCTCAGTGGTAACTGAGTTTATCCTGCTGGGTATCCCACACACGGAAGGTCTGGAGAACATGCTTTTTGCCCTGTTTTTGTCCTTCTACGTCTTCACACTGATGGGGAACTTGCTCATCCTACTTGCAATTGTCTCCTCCACTCGACTTCACACTCCCATGTACTTCTTTTTGTGTAAGTTATCTGTTTTTGACATATTTTTTCCTTCGGTGAGCTCCCCCAAGATGATGTTCTACCTCTCAGGGAGCAGCCGCTCTATTTCCTACGCAGGCTGTGTGTCCCAGCTGTTCTTTTACCACTTCCTGGGCTGCACTGAATGTTTCCTCTACACGGTGATGGCTTATGACCGCTTTGTGGCCATATGTTACCCTCTACGCTATACAGTCATCATGAGCCATAGAGTGTGTGCCATTCTTGCCACAGGGACTTCGGTATGCGGCTGTATTCAGGCCATCTTTCTAACTGCTCTGACCTTCCGGTTGCCGTATTGTGGTCCCAATGAGGTCGATTATTACTTTTGTGATATCCCGGTGATGCTGAAGCTAGCCTGTGAAGATACATCAAACCTGGAGATGGTGCAGTTCATCTGTGTGGGTCTCATGCCCCTCAGCTGCTTCCTTCTCATTCTCACCTCCTACAGTCGCATTGTCTACTCCATCTTGCAAATCCGCTCTGCACAGGGTCGACGCCGTGCCTTCTCCACCTGCAGCGCCCACCTCACTGCCATTCTTCTGTTTTATATGCCAGTGGTACTCATCTATTTACAGCCCACACCCAAGCCCTGGCTAAATGCAACTGTTCAGGTCTTGAACAACCTGGTCACCCCCATGCTGAATCCCTTGATCTACAGTCTTCGGAATAAGGAGGTGAAATCATCTCTAAGGAAGGTCCTACATCAGCTTGGTTTCTTTCCCGAGCAGATGTAGAAAGGGATCAATACTAAACTCTTCATTCATAATTCATAGTTTATAAACCATTTTTAATATCATTCTCACTAAAACTTTTGAATTTGAGAGTACAGTGTGTATTATTTTTTTCAGGGTATATTATTATCCCCAGTTTAATACATAACGATTAAGACTCAATGATTGAAGTGACTTGTGAAAGGACACATAAAAAGAAGATAGCAAAATGAGGACTTGAGAGCTGTTTTTATGACTCTAGACCTGTGTTCTCTTGAGGACTTCATACCACTGATTATACACATATGGTGGTCTAGAGGTTATTGAGAAAAATGAGAGGCACGTTATTTTGGCTTCAAATAAAATCCTGTGACTTCTGAACTATCGAGGCGTTGTATTAAAGAGAAGGACTTCTGGTTGGGACCCAAGGCAATTCTCTTATGAATGAAGTAGAGAGACTGGCTTGCTATATAATCTTCAATTTATATTTGTTGGACTTAGACCTGGAACCCAGCCCTAGCTTGTCAGTGTGTGAACAAGAAGGTGGAGAGACTGGGAGGTGAGATCCATGAAGTGATGGTGCTGTGATTCAGCGCTAGAAAATCTGGGCTTGCCTTTGTATTGCTCAAAGGGTCAGGAAGCAATGCTGAGTCAAGATGCTATGGTTTTGTATCTTTGGCTTCTCTGTTTACTAGAAGTTTGAAAATGGCTTCCTCCTCTACATTTCTTGATTATGTTCTTGAAATATGTTAAGAATGAAAAACAATGCTATTTCAATGGAATCATCTACTGTTCTCATGACTGAATTAATTAAGAATTCTATCACATTTAGGGGCTATAGATGCTCTGAAGGTTTTTCCTACTGTGATATAGGGCGCAAAGGATGCTGGGATGAGGATCATGGAAGAAGAAAGGACAGAGGGAAAAAGGCAAGTTTCTTGATTTCTTCCTCTCTCTTTTCTGCTTCTCTGTTTCTTCTCTTCTCTTTTTCGTCCTCCTCCATCTCCTCCGTCTCCTCCTCCTCCTCCTCCTTCTTCTCTCCCTCTCTCCCTCTGTCTGCCTGTCTGTCTCTGTCTCTCTTTTTTCTTGGAATCTGCTGTTTTCATAATCACCAAGCAGTCAGCGAAACCGACAGAAACACTGGGGTGAACCAACACATGCTCCTGCAGGAGACAAGCTTTTTCCTAGTCTGAGGGTCCTAAAACCTTTCTAGTACTGTTTCTCTCTTGTGTTTGCAAATACAAAAGCCTTAAATGGAACTTTAAATCTATGGCAAATTATTTTGAATTTTTAAATCTCAAACCTTTTCCAGGATTCTCTGTATTCATTGTAAAGAACTGTACTAACGACTCAGTTTCCTGGTTGCAAGTGTTCAGTTAGAAGTCTCTGCCTGTTAGGAGAGATGAGAAAGATAAGGCTCTCTGCTTCGACAAAGATTGACAGCTCCACGAACTCGACAAGCAGACATTCTGTAAGTCAGAATCAACTCTATGGGAACGGGTTTACATTTTGTTTGGTTTTGTTTTTCGAGGAGTGCAAACACTTAAAAATTAGACTGCAAATTGAAAAGCTAGAAACTCAAACCCACCTGGAGACCATTTGGAAGAAAATTTTGACAATCTATTCCCGGAAGTTCCAGCCTTGAAAAACCTATGAAGCAACCCACAAACCTACTTTGCATACATGGTGTTGCTCTAAGATGGAATCAACTTGACAGCAATTAACAACGACAACAACAAGTTAATCAGATGCTCAAATAGAACAATTTATGAAAATAAAAGTTATGAGTCCATTAATTATAATTTTCATTCATTCAGGTGGCATTTGATAAAAAATTCTGTACTAGGTGTGGAGAAAACCGATGAAACATACTTCTTCCTGAATGAATGGAAGTCAAACTGATGTATGCCTAACTAGAACACTCATGATAAATACTACTATGCAGGTATGAAATAAAGCTGAAACTATAGAAAACATTGTACTGTGATAGGGGAGGGCCTTCACATAGGAAGTGAGGATGTTTCCCTCAATTAAGATGTTCAAGAGAATATGAGGGGTACCTCCCAAAATGGATAAAAGCTCCACGGGTGGAGCTTTCATAGTACGCATTTTTCCCCTTAGAGGACCACTGAGCAACTTACTCTGAGTTAGTGCACCCAGTGGCATCACCTGGGAAGGTTCTTGAAAATGTATTTCATTTCTAATAAAGTGTGACTAAGAATTATACTCCAGGAAGTAGCAATCCACTTTTCCATCTCTGGTTTTTCGCAGTGAAAGATAGTACCTTGAAAAATATTTTTCATCTATTAGTGTCTGCCCTTGCAGAAAAAAAAATTAATGTGACCTGATGCTATTCAGCTATCTCCCTTTTGTCATCCTTTTGCTCCTGGGTTTGAGGAATATCACAGGGAATAGAACTCTATGTGTATCTCCTTAAACAAAATGACTTCTCTTTTTCTTCCATAATTTCTGATACAAGCAGATGTTGGCACCTCCAAGTAGCATCTGAGCCTTCGTTACACATGGGCTACAGCCTAGAATTCCAGACCCAACTGGGGATGTGGAGCTCCACCATGAGTGTGCTGGTGGAATGATATTTGTCTGTAATTTAGGGAACAGTAAGAGATCCGTGGTGACATTGTTATGTACAAGATCAGCAGTTGGAAATCACAAACCACTCTGTGGGAAAAAGACTTTCTACTCTTGCAAAGAGTTACAGTCTTGGAAACCACAGTAGCCATTCTATCTTGTCCTACAGGGTCACTCTGAGCTGATATTGACTCAATGGTAGTGAGTGATTGAGGTTAAGGAGATTAAGGTCTCTGAATAGTGCAAGTGGTTTGCATAATAACCTATAGGCTGGCTGCTCAATATCATCCAGTGATCATGTAGAGGAAAAGTCTGATGATTTGTTCCTATAAAGATTACAGACAAGAAAACATTGTGGACTGGTTCTGTGTTGTAACATATGGGGTTGCCATCATTTTGAACAGATTTTTTGACCAAAGATTTTGGTTGGATTTCATAAAAAGAATGGAGTGAAAGTGTTTGTGGGAGAAACCTTATACTAGATAGTATATCTACAAAGATATTTAAGTCATATGGGCAGACTGAAAAGAAGGAGTGGTGGTGGAGAGAGAGAGAGAATGTCAAGGTTTAATACCAAAGAGTTAGAATAATAACAAGTATATTGAAGCACACATTCAGAGGATATACTTTAGCAAATTGGGCTATAGCAGCAACATTTCTATAGGTGTTGGCCTCAAATAGGTGTTAACCCTGACTTTCTGTGGGCTCTGGCTTCATTTAAAACGACCTACGTTAATTCCATGTCTATGCACAACACCATAGTAGTCTGCAGGCATCACTGCTTTTTGTTGTTCCACAAATTTGTAGAAGACAGGTATTTGTTTTGAATTTTTCCAATGCATTTTGTTTTACCCACAGCTCCTGAAGACAGCAGCTATGACATGGCCATCCAAAGTGGAAATGTATTGTAAGAACACTAAACGTGGAGCTGAGATGCTGGCTCCTGACCTGGCATGGGGAGAAATTCTCAAAGAAGGGTTATTTGTTCCTTGTTTTGATTTCTTAAAAACAAATTTATTGAAATAAATTAATGACTGTTATTAAAAGCATGTTTTCAGCATTTGCAATTTTTTTTGGGGGGGGCAGGTATATCAACTATATCTCTACCAAAACATTCAAGCTAAGATAATGACATTATTTCATGTTGTGTTAGTTAACTTAGGACAAGAGGAATAATAATGTTGATGATTTGTGGGGTTAAGAGTAAGAGGGAACCCCACAAAACATCACAGGTTTGGTAGGCGCAATTGTACAGCGATAATAAGTAGAGATTA